TCTTATTCTGTTATCTTATTTTCTTTTTTTACATGTAACCATGATTTCTTCCTTTTTTTTATATGTTGTGCCATATAAATTATATTTTCTTTTATTTAACCTTCTCCAATTAGAACATTTTCATCCATTAATTATTATTTTTGTTTATTAAACATTAATACAATTTATAAGATACATTTTTCAACTTCCAAAGTAAAACAATATGTATTGATTCCTCCCCTTTTTTTAAAAATTGGAGTATAGTTGATTTACAACATTGTGTTAGTTTCAGGTGTACAGCAAAGTGAATCAGTTATACATATACAAATATTCATTCTTTTTTAGATTCTTTACATATAGGTTATTACAGAATATTGAGTAGAGTTCCCTGTGCTATACAGTAGGTCCTTATTAGTTATCTATTTTATATATAGGATTCCTCCCTTTTAAAGATAGTAAAATGAACACAGTTTATCTGCTTCTTGTCTCCTGGTTTTATTGGTAAAATTTAGAATTTATCATACAATTATTGTTGTTAAATTATACTGTCTACATTATTTTATTTCAAGAAATATTTATAATAGTTGGATTTTGTTTGATAATTGTACTAACTGCATTTTCTTATACTTAAATAGTTTCAATGCCTTTTGCCAGTCTTCTTTATTAGATTGTCATGTTATTTTGACTTCTTAATTTTAATGAATTTCTCATTAATGATAGCATATTTTGGAGTAATTATTTAAAAGATAGTTAGTAAATATTAATGAGGACTTTCCTAGCTGGTAATTTTTCTTTAGGTACCATGGCACATGAACCCCAGATTAGCTTGGCATTTAATTCTTGGCAATAATCTTTCTTCCATTGAAATTCTATAAACTTAATGAGATTTTATGTTGTGGAAAAAAGGCTGAGAAAGGTCAGAATGTTTTTTTTTTTGGTTCTTCCCACTCTTATATCACCCATAAGAATATTTTTTGAAATAATTTTGAACTCATAAGAAGTTATAAAAATAGTACAGAGAGTTCCTATGTAGACTTCACCCAGCTCTTCCAGTGATAACACCTTATATAACTATAATAGATCTATTAAAAAAATTATAACAGCAAAAAAAGTAAATAAATAAAAGAAAAACATTTTCCTACAAAAAATAATAAATAAATAAAACTTAGGAAAGTGACATTGGTACAATCCACATAGATTATTCACTTATAAGCTTTAATCCCTTAAAATGAAGGTATTTATTTATTTACTTACTACGTGGGCTTACTACGTGGAATGTGAGATCTTGTTCCCAGACCAGGGATCAAACCCTCACCCCCTGCACTGGAACCACAGTCTTAACCACTGAACTGCCAGGGAAGTCCCTAAAATGATGCTTTTTAATTCTAAATTTATTAATTTAACTATGAATTAAATTTGTTATCAAATACAATAGAATTATTGTAGTTTTGTAAGTTCATTTGTCCTCTTTTTCCTTGTACTCAAAAATTAACTTTTTATGGGTACAAGTCTCATCTCCTCAACTAGATTATCAGTTCTCTAGTGTAAGAAACATACTTGTGTGTATCTTTCACAGTAGATAACATCTAGTTTGATACTGGGATGGGCTATACTTCTCTAATATTTTGTGAAAAAACTATAGCGTTTGAGATTGTCTCAGTGTTGGTTGTTTCTGGCTCTGGTCAAGTATCATTGAGGAGGGAAGTCTGATACAAAACGGAAATCATTGGGGAGGGCATTAAGTCATTTTGGCTTGACCACAATGATGGAGAGCCTGTAGAGTGCAATGTGGGGAGCTGCTTGACTATCTGAATTGCTACCACCAGGTTTAATATGTGTAGGATCTCACCCTCTATCTCAGGCAGCCCTCTCCAGTGCTTTTAGAGAATAACTCCATTAAACAATAGATGTGTGCCTGCCACCAAATTTGAATGGATATAAGGCAGACCTTTACTGTTTGCAACACCCAATGGAAACTCCCCAGAAGGGCAATAAGTAGTGTAAGCTTAGTCTGGGATTGCCAGCTGAGTCATGGATTTGTCACCTAGAATGACCAGTAATTTAGAAAAGTATCTAAAAGAAGGTCTAGGCAAGGATATTCTCTCCTCCATGCACGGGAGAGGCATATGACAAAATAGAGGCTTGTTACAAAATTTTAATACTTTATGGCAAAATTGAAGGTGGCCATGTGGCAGGAGTGCTGGACTAAAAGGCAGGAGATTTAAGCTGTCTTCCAGCTCTACAATTAATTATTCATATGATTTTAGGAAAGTCACACATCCTTTCTGAGTGAGGCATGTAAAATATAAAATGAAGGGGGGCTGTTAACATTAACACAGTGCTTTACAAAGTGAGCTTGAATATTGCCTACATCAGAATTTACATAATGTGTTAAAATGCTGATTCCTGGGCCTCACCCCTTACCACCTCAGTCAGAACCTGTGGGCTAAGAGCTAGGAATCTTCAGGTGATTGTTATGTATACTAAAGAATAGGAACAACTAGCTTAGTTCACCTGGAAGGCTCCTTTGAGATTTAGAATAATCTATAATTCTAATAAATATTTACTAAGTGCTACAGATACTACTTAAAAGGTATAGTTTGATCTTTGTGCTAGTGAGAATTAGTTTGACCCATAGGTTTTGTCTTTTCAGATAACATCTTTGGGCTTTTCGGGAGCACAGAAATATTGGGAATCCATTCAGACAGAGTCCCTCAGGATGGTAGCTTTATGGATTCTCCATGGTCTAGGTTTTTTCCTAATTATTGTACAACCAGAAATTCTATCCAGTCTTATCTTTACCTTAGAGTTTAAAGTTTGGAAAATCCAGGTGAAATAGTGTACTCCACAAAGAGAATGCTTCTCTAGGGACCAGATTTTTCATGTCTCCAAAACAAATTTCTCTCCCTTGAACAATCAGGATGGCCAGTAGCCACTTTTGTCCTCCTGAAACCCATGTCCCATTGAAAACTTCCTTATGTCGTCAAGGCCTTCTTCAGGGGAGTAGATACCCCAATCAAGTTAATCTTCCTGCTTTTGGCCAAAGAACTAGTCTATCCCTTGCCAATATGTATGGATTTTATTAGTCAAACTCGCAGAGTTATCGAACCATAGAACCAGAAGTCTGTAACGGTATTCATAGGATATGATTCTAGAAATAATCCCTTTAAGGCTTGGAGCTTAATAGATGCCAATCTGGGAGACATCCATGGATTTTTTTAAAATAACTTTTTCATTTTGAAATAGTCTTACACAAGAAGTTGCAAAGATAGTACAGAGTTCCCATGTACTCTTTGACCAGCTTTTCCCAATAAGATTTGTATAACAGTGTCAAAATCAAGAAATGAAGATTGGCACAATATTCTCAACTCAACAGCAGATATTATTTAATCTGTTTTTCCACAAAGGATATTAATGAGGAATTATCAGGGTTTTTTAGATGCTGTAATACACTTTACATGATCTCTCTATTACAGTTACAAGCAAGAGACAGAGCAGTGTATTGGATAGAGGAGTTTTGGAGCCAAACATACATTTTAATTCCAGACTCTGATTACTGGTTGGATAATTTTAGGCAACTTACTTAATTTGTCTGAGCTATAGTTTCCTTATCTGTAACATGGGGTAATGAAGCTTATTTTATAGGGTTGAAGTTAGGACTAAATGAGAAGGATTAAATGATGAATATTGAAGGAAAAGCAGGTGTCTGGCATTAATAGGACTGAAATAAGTGGTTCTATACATTTAAAAAATGTATAGAAAATAGTGTTCAGTCTTTTGTGGGTTAATTACTTGTGCATATCTGGTCTTCATATGTAACGTACAGAAAAGCAATGAGTAGAAGTGCTTAAAATTTTTTTTGTCCTTAAATATACCAAACTTCTAGTTATTTTACCAAAACTCCAAAAATGTAGAATCATAGAATGTTAGAACTGTAAGAAGAGTTAAGTAACCCATAGTCAATCTGCCCCATTAGGAAATCGAAGATCATAGACACCAGAAAAAGAGCAAAGTTACTGTGGTATACTAAAAAATTAATATTTGGTCTTTGTCCTCAGTTCCTGGCACACAGTTCCTTTAATCCTTGGACTCCCCGGAGTGATGAGTGTTTTTTGCATGCTAATAAGATGACCAGTCGCTGAGGCCCCCAGATTGCTTCAGTATGGAGGCTGGTCGGTCACCAGAAAGACCAAGGCTTGATTAGAAGCTTGGAACTTCTAGCCCACTCCACAGTCTCCAGGAATGGGAGAGGGGTTGGATATTGAGTCATTTACCAACAGCTAATGATTTAATCAATCACAACTATGTAATGAAACCTTTATAAAAACCCCTAAAAGAAGGGGTTTGGAGAGCTTGCATGTTGGTGAACAGATTAAAGTGCTGGGAGGGTAACACACTCAGAGAGTGAATTCTCTTGCACTGTAATCTCTTCTGTTTGGCTGTTCCTGAGTTGTACCCTTTATAATAAACAAGTAATAGTAAGTAAAACTCTTTCCTGAGTGAGTTCTGTGAGTCTTTTCAGCAAATTATCAAACCTGAAGTGGGGAGGCAATAGGCGCATTGGACAGAAGTGTGGATAGCCCGGGGACCTAATACTCCTAATACTTGTTACTGGCACCACTAGTGAGGGCAGTCTTGTGGGACTGAGCCCTTCACCTGTAGGGTCTGACACGAACTCTGAGTAGTTAGTGTCAGAATTGAATTAAATTGTAGGACACCCAGTTGGTGTCAGAATTGGTTGGTGTCAGGAGGAAAATAAGCCTCCCAGTTGCACAGCCAACATGTGGCAAATGGGGACCTGAATTCAGGTCTCTTAACTCTACTACTTACGTATAGCACTTCAGATATGAGAAGAATATTGCCCTAACCCTCTTAGACAAAAAAGTACACCGCAGCTGCTGACTGGTAAATTCAGGTTCCTGTACATGAAGAAGGGTGGGTGGCAGGGTGAAATACAATTTCTTCCCTTATTCTGTTATCTCAAGACTTATCTAATATTAAACTTTTACTCTGTCTGCCAGGGATTGCAAATTTTTATCCTCCACACTGTCAGAACAAAAATCTTCCAGAGTAAAGCTTCCGAAGTGTTGAAGTCATTGTCGTTAACTACTGGGAGTGCTGCCATCAGTGACCCCACTGAGGCTGTGTGTAAGGATGTATAACACGCTCAGGCCATTACCAGCCCTAAATGAACACTTTTGGCTGCTGAAGCCATCTATACTTACCAAGGAAATGGCATCGTCTGAAAGTGACCAAGAAAACCCAAGCATCTAGACAGGAAAACTGTTACCTTTTGTGGTCCTCTTTTTATTCAACTCATGTGTTTCACTTTTTCTATTTCCTTCCTTTATTACCCAGCCTTCTCAAAGTCTCCCTCAGTATATTTTGCTTAAGGTTAAGAATCAGGTAAAACCTGTTGTTTATTATCATCAGGGATAGTGAATTTGGTAGTTTTTCTGTTATTCAATAGATTCTTACTCCAATGAAGTGAAGAATGCCACTCAGCTTTCAAGATAATCATTGCTCCGTACGTCCTAAAGTCTATGTGACAAAGTTTGATAAAAATATAGAACCTAAAAAATTCTTTTACTGTTTACTAAAAAGGACATGAGGATAAAAATTTACCCTCCAGAACAAAATGACTCTTGGTGAACACTGAAGGGAGTAGCTTGTATGTATCATACTTTTTTTTTTTTTTTTGCAGTATGCGGGCCTCTCACTGCTGTGGCCTCTCCCGTTGCGGAGCACAGGCTCCGGACGCGCAGGCTCAGCGGCCATGGCTCACGGGCCCAGCCGCTCCGCGGCATGGGGGATCTTCCCAGACCGGGGCACAAACCCGTGTCCCCTGCATCGGCAGGCGGACTCTCAACCACTGCGCCACCAGGGAAGCCCCTGTATCATACTTTTGATCTGTGAATATTTTAAATTTGTATGTGCTTATACTCTTATTTCCAATTAAGAATTTTGCACCAATTTAACCTCTGGAAAGTGTATTTTTTTTTCTGTTAAAAAAGCATATTTTATGACCAGAGGAATTGACCCCATGAGAAATGGGAAGTGAGACATAGAAAAATAAGCTCGTTGCTAAAGCCTCTGAATATTTCCTTCCGGTTCTTGATATATTTACCCTTTTATTGATGAAATGACAGTGAGGCTCAAAAAATGAAAAGTTAGTCACAATCACCCCTTATGGCTTTTAAAAGATCAAGCCGCTCATGGAGTTTCAAACACTTAAATTATTAATGGCTTCCTAAATAAAAAATGACCTCCACTGGTTTGGGGAGCACTCCCACTGGACTTAGGAGATAGTCTTTGAATTGCTGTGTTCTGTTTTGTCATAAACTAGGCAGCTGCTGTGAGTGCACTGAACTAAGGGACTAACAAATGTCATGTGAGCTGTGGTATACTCTTCTTACCACGCTCTAAAGAACATGTGTTTTTTATATAGAAATTGTTGTAAATGACTGTTAGATTTCTAGGCGAGCCAAGAGCATATTTCATCTGTAGTATAATTGAGACCTTACAGTATAATGGAAAAAAGTAAAAGGAAGAGAATATAGAAGTAAAGCAATTCTCAGAGGTTAGTGTTTTTAGTGGTGTTATAGTGCCATCCCTAGATAGGGGCTTGACTTTGGGAAAATTACAAGATGTGGTTGACTTACTCTATGTCCTGGAATTTATATTCATATTAAAATAAACCTTAAGTAAAGGCCACTTTAAATGTGAAAAAAAAATCACCAAAGAGACACATTTAGCCTGAGGGTGAAATATTTGTGTTCCCTTCGTGGTTTTAGTTTTCTTTGTACTTTTTTCAGCACTTTGGGGGGTATAGCAACCAAAATTTCACATAATGTTCCTGGAATGGCTCTACCATAAATGTACAAGCTCCACACACATACTGTGGAAGCTAAGTCAGGTGGACATTGCTATTACCCTGCCAACCCTGAAATCCTACCTCTTGGAAATAATTCTCTTGATTTAAGCCTTTACCTCATGCACTGGTCTGGAATCTTTTAGTTCAGTGATAGAGATCCAAGTCAGATTAGGTTAAGAGTCAAAGAGAGCTTAATGGTTCAATTCATTGTAAAGTGCAAGGGATGAGTTGGTTTTAGGTAGGGTGAACACGTTCTGGTTTGCCTGAGCCAGTCCCAATTTGTGCCTGTTGTCCTGATTCAAGTATTACCAACAGCCCCTTTTACTCTCGAGTGTCCTTGTTTGGGACACAAAATATATGATAACACTAACTTTAGGTCTAGAGTTCAAATGAAATGAGTTCAAAGAATGTGTCAGGATTCTCTTTTTCTCTCCCTGTTTCCTGGCTCTTTGTCCTTCTGTGTTTGGCTTCATCCTCATATTGGGTTTTCATGGTCGGACACTGGCCATTGGCATCCCCTTCCTCCTGCCCTGCAACTTCCCATCAGTGTCTCCCATGGGCCGCAGCCAGCCAGAAGCCAGTTGAGCCAGGAACCTGTGGGGCTCAGTCCCTTCTGATACAGAGCAAAGCAGGGGCAGCGAGAAGAAAGGACCAAAGAACTGGTACACCTTGATGAGTCATGTGCCCACAGGCACTGTGTCCAGGGAATATTGATCCAGCCTGAGTCACATACTCACTGTGAAGTGGAGGGATAGGGGATGACCTGTTTGATAGGATATCCTGGAGTGGAGAGTGGACAGTTACACCAAGGATGGGATGCTGGCAGCAAAACGTGGTGGCGTTTCCACTATATCTCCTGACAAAATACAAGTGCCTCATGGGACAACACTGCTTGCAGGCTTATCAATCAGTTCCCTGCCTCTGAATAAGCCTGTTATATCCTTGTCTGAGCAGGGTTTGAATGGGGTGGGTAAGGAAAGCAAGAAATTTTTTGGTGCCTTTGAAGTTGAGGAGCAAGGACAGGGACTCTAGGAGCTGAAGCGTGATTTTACTTAAAAAGAAAATTTCAGGAAAGGAAGACTCAGAGTACTGCAGAACTGGTTTTCATGATATTACATGGGGCCAACGTTCCCTGTTTCTGATATATTGTGTGTGATAACAGTACCCCTATATCCTTTTCGGTTGTGGTAGAACATGTCGTTTCTTCAGGGAACAACCATCCTAACCTTTGGGTTTCCTTTCCTGGGTCTTAAGAGTTCAGAGCTTAATTGTCAGAGTCTGGATTGCTTTTTCTCTTACCCTTTCCATTTTGAAGTTCATGTTGCCTCTTTTTTTATGTTACCAACAAAGGCCGATCATTCTCAAGCTCATTGCTATCAGTTTGTCATTGCCTCATTCAGAAGAGCTTGGCATTCTTTGCCAATGCTTGGGAAACCTGGGCTAAGAGTGCCGACTGGATCGTACCAGCCTGTCAACCACTGGAGCTCTCTAGCCCTGTGGAACCTCTTTAATGTTACCCTGGGATCTTCAGTACCTGGCTCCTTAGATGAGGTGCAAGACAGAGCCACCAGGATTGGTTCCATCCCGGGGGGTGGGGTGGGAAACATGGGGCTGTAGGGGGAGGGGCCCGTTACTAAGAGAGGAAAAGGCTTCCTGGTCACATTTTTAAAACATTGTACTAGCCATGTTATGGCAATTTTAGAAGATATTTATAAATTATCTTTTACAAAAAAGAAAAATCCGTAATTCCCTGACCTATCAATAATGTCTGTTTTTCCATGTTCCCTTATACTCTTTGTTTGAATACATAAGAATTTAAATAATTAATTATAGTAAATGAAATTTTATTCTGATTTTTAGTTACAATTTCCCAGTTCTTATAATAATTGATTGCAAAATATAAGTTACTAAGTTGTTCTGTTATTGGATGTCTAGATCATTTCAATTTTTAATATTGTAGTGACATATGATTAGTAAACTGGTACATACAGCTTTTTTCCTTTCTGTTAAATTATTTCCTGCAGATAAATTCTCAGGATGATGTTAAGCATGTCAAAAGTATGAACATTTGTTTAGGTTCCTTGTATATATTACTATATTGTCTTGACAACATTACATTAATTTATAGTGTCACCAACATTTGGAGTTACCATAAGCAGGTTTTTGTATAGTTTACTTTGGTATTTTATTTTTTTAATTATTTATATGCATTGTCCATTTATCAATTGAACTGTTTTTTTTCTCATAAATTTGTATGAATTCTTTTCTATTATGGTTATTAGCCCATTAACTATTACATTTAGTGACAATATTTTTCCTCAGTTTATTGTTTTCCTTTTTAAAAAAAATATTTATTTATTTATTTATTTATTTATTTAATTTTGGTTGCGTCGGGTCTTTGTTGCTGCGCGCCGGCTTTCTCTAGTTGCGGTGAGTGGGCTTCTCATTGTGGTGGCTTCTTTTGTTGCGGAACACTGGCTCTAGGTGTGTGGGCTTCAGTAGTTGTGGCACATGGGCTCAGTAGTTGCGGCACATGGGCTCTAGAGAGCAGGCTTAGTAGTTGTGGTGCACAGGCTTAGTTGCTCCGTGGCATGTGGGATCTTCCTGGACTAGGGATCAAACCTGTGTCCCCTGCATTGGCAGGCAGATTCTTAACCACTGTGCTACCAGGGAAGTCCCTGTTTTCCTTTCTTTTTAATATAATGAAATGTTCGCTCTGCATTTGATTCAAAATATCCAAAAGATTTATGGAGCATTTAGCATTTCTTGAGTTTAAATGTCTTCATACAGGCAGAGTATTTTTTGTTTTGTGTTAAGGAATATCTTAGGGATTATGTAAAATCTTCTAAAATGAAGAACAGGGGCATAAATATGCCAACCGAGGCCAACGGAATCACATATGACAGACACTTGCCATCTCTCACCCTATATTATATCGTACAGCAGTTGGGTGGGGTTCCATGACAAAGTTATTTTTTCCTCTTAAACATGCTTTCTGTCTCTTTGTGTCCATCCACCTTTTCTTAAAAATAAAACAGTAAATCTTGGAGAAGATTAGCAATTATTTGTTAACACACACAAAAACCTCAGAGAGATTCAAATGTTACATATGCATCATCTGTATTACTTCATTTACATATAGGTAACCTATTAAAATGTGTATTTGAAAAAAATGTAAAAGTTGCTGAAAAACTAAGTAAGGAAATCAGGAGGAAGAGAAAATAATCATAGGAGCAAAAAGTAAGAAGATTGGTATGTTATTAGTACCCAAGGAACATGTCATATGAGCTTGCATTTTTGCTAGGAGTGGGCCACAGATTAGACCATAAGCTTCCTAACACCCAACATAAATAGGGAAATATGATCACACAAGTCACATACCTCTTAACAATTAAACAAC